TTCAGGAAATGATCACAACGTGATGGCGTGCCCTGGCTGAGATATGTTGGCGATCCATCACTGACTTGAGCAGTGTTGCATTAGCATCTGGATGGAACCGTGCCTATCAACTTGTTCGCCTACTTTTGACTCTTTAGTTGTCTTTGGTGTGTCGCCAGCGCAGCCATTCCGTGGTGTGGTACATTACAAGAAAAAAAAGGAATATATGGCGCAGCCAAGAAAGGCAGTGCCACTGTGATTGTGTACAGGTTGGGAGACACAATGACGACAAATGAAAGCGAAGAGTAATTGTACGCAGCATGATACTGAAGATTCTATATGATGCCGAGCGGTTATTGTCCAACTTGCCCCTTCAAACTATCTCCTTGCTAAGGGCAAGAAACGTTGGAAGCCTAGTTCTCACCTTACAACTTCATTGAACAGAAAAAGTGTCAAAAGTAACTTCCAACAACTATATACTACGTCGGTTCACCGATGGCAGGAATTCCAAGATCTGTAGAACTCCTTAATATGTGTAGAAATACTGGTATAATAGTGACTGAGGATCTTTTGTGGGGTGGTTCAGTAGTGTAGCGAACAGGACCCCGAAGTTAAAGCCATGCTGCATGCAAAGAATGATGAGTTGTGCGGCTCAAATACTGATGACAAGATGATAAATAATTGCAAAGAGTAGATAAAAGCAGAAAAAAAATTCGTCCGAAATGTCACATATAGAACCACGTGGTGAACACACATTTGTACGAGCTCTACGCGAAGAAAGGCCGTGGTCGGACGAGTGCTTACTTGTTGGTATCGAAGCATAACAGTTCTTTCTACTTACCACCTCACTCTCACCATAAATGGAGAGAGCTAGCAGCAGGAACAACCGCACCACCGAGAACTCTTTAGAGGCGAAAGTTGGGTGTGACGCTGGCCAGTGGGCGGGGCGTTGCCTTTGGCGTTGCTTCAAGGGGACTACTTGCGATAACTTATAATATATTCACCACCTATAAGTGAGCTGGTAAGCCTTAATAAGCGAAGCTGTTCAGGGCCTAGGCCGGTCTTTAGACGGCAGTTTGATGAGATCATCCCGACTCCCATGCCAGATAAGAAGCGGGCCAAGGAAAAATTGTCTCTCAGACGGTGAGACATGAGGAATGTGATCGTTGTTGGTTTTTTCAAACCCAAATTCACCCTTTTTCAAACCAAATTCACCCTTTTTCAAACCAAATTCACCCTCACTTTTCACATCAAATTAACCACACTTATAAGGGCGGGCATCATCAAGCAGATCACACCTCATCTTCCTCTTTCTCACCAGATCACGCCAGACATCACTGCGAGCCCCGCCCCGACGGCCACGCCCACTTGTCAGCGCGGACATAGATTCTCAAATCTTGTTTCATAACTTCTGCTTTTGCTGTTTCCCACAAACACTCTGACTGGAAACGACCGGGCATTGACACATGGCCGACTCCGCCCATTTTCTAAAGGGTTTGGCAATCTAGGCTGACCACGCCCACTTGCTTTTCGCGGACTTTCGATACTTTCTTCAGAAATTTTTGCATTTTAGGTTGTGCCGGAGCCCCACCATCATGATAGGCTCGCCCACCTTTGAGATAGCCCGCACCTTTTCAAAAATGAGCCAATCGGCCCAGTATAGGCTTGGTTGCATGCTTTAGGGTATGCTGATCATTCCGAATAAACTTTGGATGAGGATTTTCTATGTCACCAAGTGACGGACGAATTCGAGACCCTAGCATGCAAGCCACATGTTTTAATACTGCCGGCTGCACCATTTTTTGAAAAAAGTGTGGGCGGGGCTTCACGCAGCAGCCCTAAAATGCAAAAATTTTGAAAAAAATATCGAAAGTCCGCGAAAAGCAAGTGGGCGTGGTCAGCCTAGATTGCCAAACCCTTTAGAAAATGGGCGGAGTCGGCCATGTGTCAATGCCCGGTCGTTTCCAGTCAGAGTGTTTGTGGGAAACAGCAAAAGCAGAAGTTATGAAACAAGATTTGAGAATCTATGTCCGCGCTGACAAGTGGGCGTGGCCGTCGGGGCGGGGCTCGCAGTGATGTCTGGCGTGATCTGCTTGATGATGCCCGCCCTTATAAGTGTGTTAATTTGATGTGAAAAGTGAGGGTGAATTTGGTTTGAAAAAGGGTGAATTTGGTTTGAAAAAGGGTGAATTTGGTTTGAAAAAGGGTGAATTTAAAGTGAAAATGGTATATAACGGGCCACCCACTTGACAAAGTCCTATAATATTCCGAGCCACTAGTACGGGTACATGTCAACTGTAATGTCGGCCGCTTGAAGCACGAAAAGTTAATTTCACGGCGCCATGCTTCGGCACGCTAATCTGGCAGTTGAGGGCGGGGCTAAACTTGGCGCTCCATCAATGAAACGACCGAATTGCGCCGAAGGGGTGCGTGAAAATGGAGGCACTTCGCAGGCTTGGTATTACGTTGACACACTAAACTAATTTGTGGGGGCCCTGCCACGATAGCCACAGCGCAGAGCAGTAAATGAGTACTACAGCTCGCTACGCTAAGGCATCGTGTAGAAAAAAACACTATGCGAGCCAGGAGATGAGCTTTTTCGAAGGGAGGGGACACCGGGGTGGATGAGCCACTTAGTATGCGTGAAAAGTTGGAATGTGAAAGGTCAAAGTGGCCATAAATCGCCATTCAGGCAAGAGAGCGCAGAGAAAAACAAGAAAGTTGGCGCCATTAAAGGGATTGAGTTTTAGCTGTCCGTAGACCGAGTTTCGTTCACATTTGACAAGAGCCCACATATATCACCAAGGTGAGATAAGTAACTCAAGAGTAACCGGCAAAGGAAACTAACGAGCTGCTAACTATAAGCGGCCTCCCCCCCCCAAGCAGTACAGCGACCCATCCTCCCCTACTTCTTTTTCATGTTGAGTTACATTTTGTGCTGGAAGGTGCAGTGAAGTGGTGAATCAGGATTTTTGTTCAAAGGCAGACCCTGCGATAGTATATTGTGAATAGTTGTGTTTTATTACAAACCTATAGTCGTAAAGTGATTCCTCAGTGAAGGAGGAAAAAACAAAAAAAAATTGGAGACCTAAGTAAGAACTTGGCAACCTCTCTGGGCGCGTTCTCCGAACCTGCTCGCTATGCCAACAAAGCGATATCTTGCCGTACCCGGAGACCTTGCACCGACTACTAGAACAAGAAAGGACGCCTACGGATCGCTTGAGCGTCTTTCGTGACCTTGTCTTCCATTCGGAATAAAAATCGACAAACAAACAACGCCACAAACTTCGTATCCCTATTCAGAGAACAGAATCAGATACAGAGAAGGATGAAGGACCTCTGGAAAACGCTGAAAAGCTTAATGAAAGCCCACGTGAAAGTGTTCATCAATTACCCACAAACCCATTTCGGAGCTTCAGACTAGGCAATATAATACTTCATCAAAAGTACTTCACCAGTTCCAGACAATCGAAAGGAAAAAGCCTTATTCTAGTTTAAAATCGCTCTATTCTTATGCTCCAATAGAGGTAATGAGCTCCATTCGAAATGACTTGAAATTGGCAACCGGCCAATCCGTCATGATTTTCAGGCAATGTACCGTAATATGGAGCTTGGAACAACGCCGCACTTCATGAACTCGTCCGCCATTTAGCCCAGCCTACTACACCGAAACCCAGTGTGAGCGCCAAAAGGCGTCATACACGTGAGGACGTTATGAGTCGGTCGAGGTTCCGGTTTTACCCGATTGCGGTACTAGATAATTAAAACATGAGGTCTTACATAAGGAAAAACACAGTCTAAAAGCATCTTGGAAAAAAGGAATCAGTAGCAAAGAGAGAACGGATTGAACAAGTGATGAAGAAGGTAATGGTTTTTACTTAATGCCATCTGAATGAAAGTGGACTCGACCACGACCTCGCAGTTATTGATCGCCCGGCATTTGAGTTGAAGAGTTGGCGGGCTCGGCAGGTGTTTTACCAGTAACTAATCCCCTTGTTTCATTCCGTAGCTATTATACTAGATTACTCTTGTATTTAACTCGCTAAATTTTTGACTTTAGTCGGGAAATTCCTTCAAGAAACAGAATTGAACCGTTTGAACGGGCTTGGCCAACACTACCGCCTACCGGAAGTGGACGAGTTTTCCGCGTGCACGTTTGGTTGGGTCATTTTCGCGAATTTCGTTTCCGTCGTCGATGTCCTACTGTTCCTTCCAATATTGTCCTACCTTGTGTATTTCATCAGTATTTTGGGTTGATTTGACTAGTATGATGTTTTAAACTTGAAGTTAAGGTCATATGACCATTAATGCTCATGGGAGCAGGGATAAAGTCAATGAAACCTCAGAAATAGAGCTTACTGATCTTTCTGGATAGAGTTGGAATCACAGTTAAGTTCGAAATGCTATTCTCTTATTCGTCCGTCAGTAACGAGTTGTCACTTCGTAAGCGGGTTCAAAACAGCTCCTGTTCTTTTCATGTCCTGTTTGAAGCTTGAATTCAAAATATAAAGCAATGGTCGTGAACTTCATTCATGAATTGTCACGGGGAACGGAACGCTTTCGCAAGTTTTGGATATTCAAAAAAATCCCATTTACTCCAGTCTGGGCTATGTAAATTTCTCATCGGACCTCATTTTCACTTACATACTTCGGGAGGCTCACTTGACATCTTCCCAACTCCCAAAGTCTCAAAAGCCCCCGATTGAGAAGAAATGGAGTTGTGAGTTCGCCCAAAGCTAGAAGGTGTGGAGAAAGTTGTTTTTTCGCAAAAAAAATCAGGTTCGAAATGCCAACGCACCGAAGTTCCGCCTCGTCCGAATAGCGCTATTCCTTCGTTCATAGCTCGTGCTCATGAGATAATCGCAAAGAAATGATTATTATTCACATGTATTATCAGGGAATGTGATATAAGGAACTGAACCAGTATTGTCGTGCCTCAGTTTTTTTAATATTATTTTATAATATTATCAATGAGAAATTTCCCAGGCGAACTCCTCACCTGTTGGTAAGCTCAGCGAACCATGTCGGCTCCACCACCTGTCGCCGGTGTCGAGGATTCGGCTGACCGAAATGTCGAAATGTGGAAGATTAAGAGGCTTATAAAAAGTCTAGAGCTGGCTAGAGGGTGTGTTTCGGTCCTATCATCTTCAATGTATTTGAAATCTTTTATATTTTATCGCAATTATTTTTAGAAATGGTACTTCTATGATTTCACTGATTATCCCCCCACGAGATCAGATTGCTCGGGTTCAAAAGATGCTTGCTGATGAATATGGTACTGCATCGAATATTAAATCGCGTGTGAATAGGCTTTCTGTGCTTGGAGCAATTACTTCGGTACAAGGACGTCTGAAATTGTACAGCAAAGGTGAGCCTCATATTGAATTCACTTTTCCATAGTTCTGGTTGTGCGTCGAAGGATGGTGTAGTGACCATGGCGCACTTACCATTTGCGCGATCCTGAGTCCAAATCCCAGGTCGACTCTCGCCCAGGCCAACCAAGCCTTCTACCCTCCGGGATGAAATTGGTACCAGATTCGTCTGGGAGGATAAAACACTGACTTGTACATCGGCTGGCCCCGCAAGTCATTGTATAGACCTATCGCACTGCACAAGCAGCTACGACTCTGAGCAGAAGTAGGATGCGTACCACATCCTAAAAAAGAACTGATCAAGGGGAAGCCATTTATTTATTTATGCAGTCTGCCGCCTAGCATGCGCAAATATCTGCGGACATCTGGTCTGGAACGCACAGCGACTTCCGTGTTGTTGTATCTTATTATGTGCTTAACACGGTGGTTGTTAACTGGAATAGAGGTGCATCGAGTAAGAGGGGTTGGGATGCCTCTACATTAAAACACATTTGAAAAACCTAGACTCTTGGTTGTTGGTTGCGAGCTCAAGTGAGTTTTCAACGCGATCTCCTCTCCAACTCGATAGTGATTGAAACCCAAATTTTTGGATCGCCTACACGGGAAATGTAGTGCATCAATGATTGGTTGGCAGTTTCACAGTAGAATTTATTCCAGTTCTTGCGGTCACTGGAATGCGGCTAAAAGGTACGTGCGCGTTGCGGGAATTCTCGTTGTAGTTCCCTTTCCCTGGTTTATGCAGGAATCGATGTTAAGCGCACTGCTCTTGCACTTTTCCAAACCAAGATCATTAGAGTAACGACTCCCCCTCCCTTTGACTCCTCAGGTGTCAGTAGCAAATTGTACTCTTTTGCGACCGTCCATTGCACGGCTGCCTTACGGCGCTCACATACTTTTCGTTCTTGAGCCGCTCTGGCTTAGAGAGAGGAAATCTAACTAGCGTTCAAGACTTTTGAGCGTTGTTTCAAGCGCTGAAACGTTAGACTGGTGTCTATACCTTTCCTTTTGCCCAAAATGCGTGAAACGCTCAAGTCGCTAACGAAATGTATGGAAGCAGCCTTATTAATCGATGACGTTATAGCTGCCTTTCGAGCAACTTCTGTGAAGCTTGAAAAATTACCAATTGTATCCTGCAGCGCGCGTGGAGAGGCTAACGCTTGCAACACTGAAAAATATTCTCTCTGGGGCAACCCCACTGGCGACCTTAGAACTCTTTGAGTTTTTCTTGAACGATGTTGTACCCTGGCTGTAGCTCCCACTTTGTACGGTTGTGCAATGTCGCGAATATAGTTTGGAGTCCTGTAAAATCCTATTCTGTATAACTTCCCATTTCCATTCAGTGTAGTATCAGGAAAGTTGAATGAACGTTATTAACATTAATTGCGTTTATAATATTTCTCATGAAGTAGACGTTGCCCTTGGCTGCTTAGTTAGTCACGGTTGCTACTTCGGCAAAACGTGCTTTTCAGTTCAAATACTTTGTAATATTGACTAGGAGTAGAATCGAGTGTGATCGTTCTCCTTGGCATCTAGATGATTTTCATACGAGTGATCAGCTTGACCCGTTCAAGGTTTTTACAGTTTCATTGGCCAACGCTCCGGCTTCTTCACCTTCGTCAGGGCCTGAAAGAGTCAAAAACAAGTGGGATTTTCGACTTTTCAGGCTCCGACGAAAGCGAAGAAGCCGATACGTTGGCCCTCATAAAGTGTGAAAATCTAAGACGGTCCAAGGTGTCCACTCGTTTGAGCCAGCAACAATGATTATCCGCTGGGGAAACTAATTAGGAGTCGTTGATTTTGCCCTAGTGCTGATAGGGCACCTATCAGCACTTCACCTATCATTGTTATCAGGAGGGATGTGGTGTAATTCCTAAGCCGCACAGGAACTTTGTTGTGGTTCCATTTCTTTAGTAGGAAACGGAAGTGAATGGCGATTGATTTATGCAAGACGTAAAAATTAATCCACAGAAGCCCCCAGTCACCTGTCAATTTTGTAGTGCCTCCAAATGGACTCGTCGTGTACTGTGGTACTATTGTTACCGATGAAGGCAAGGAAAAGAAAGTTAACATTGATTTCGAACCGTTCAAGCCCATCAACACGTCTCTTTATCTGTGTGACAACAAATTCCATACGGAGGCTCTTCAAGGTACTTTTAATTATGCTTCTCCTTAAGTTCAGGTTTCAGGCTGTTTTCGTTTACTTGTTATTGAAGATTAAGCTACACTTGTTATGTGTTTCGTTTCTCTTCTAGGCCTTCTTGCTGATGACAACAAGTTTGGATTCATCATTATGGATGGAAATGGAACGCTATTCGGAACATTGCAAGGGAATACTCGAGAAGTACTCCACAAATTCACGGTAGATTTACCAAAGAAACACGGTAATTCTTGGTTTTCACCTTTTGTATCTAAATGAAATTAATGAATGCCATAACATAGGAAGAGGAGGACAATCTGCTTTGCGATTTGCTCGACTTCGTATGGAAAAGCGGCACAATTATGTACGAAAAGTAGCTGAATGTGCCGTGGAAATGTTTATTAAGAATGATAAGGTGGGATATACTAGTAGTATCTTCAGCGATTGGAAGAATAAGTACAGTTTCAACTTGTTGAAAAGTTTCATTGTGATTGCATTTCTCAGGTTACGGTTGCCGGTCTAATTTTGGCTGGAAGTGCTGATTTCAAAACTGAGCTCGGCCAATCCGATATGTTTGACCAGGTAATTCTTAAAGGGCTTTGCTTCAGGTATAAGGTGATCGAAACCTCGACGTTTTTGTCAGAAAAAAATGGATCTACCCATACTGCAGTCAGCTGACATGATCCAATTATAGACAAGTGAATAGTAAAGAGAAAGTTCAGTAAAAGATTAACTCGAAGAGTAAAACCTCGTGGCCTACGTAAATCCCCCAGAACTGTGGACCAGCATTAACTCCAGGGATAGTTGGCAAAGGAAATCTTAGCAGAGATCTCATCCTTTGGCCTCGCTTGCTCTCCGAACCTGCCTTGGCAAGGCAGGATTGAAAGACAAGGAAGCGGCAATTGAATGATGAGCTCTTTGCCTTTACCTTCGGAGCTACTATCTCGAGCGCTGATGCTGCTACAGTCTGAGTTCTTCCTGGGTGTGAACCGCCTTCTTGTTTGGAGCGCGCCAAAAATTCCATTATAGGAACTTTCATTTTTCTCTATTTTTAATTAGTTTACTTTATCCCCCCCCCCAGGCTTTCATGTGGGGTGGGTTTCAACCAGTGCGATTTGTAGCTCGGAAAGCAGGTATTTAACCCGCCAGCCCTCATTTCCAGGATGTGACCAAGACAGTGCCCACTTGACAGGAGGGGGTTACTATTTCCAAACAGATTAAAGGCTATAGATTCCTCGGCTCGATTTTATTAAAGTCTCTGCATATTTTCAGCGACTTCAAGCAAAGATGGTCAAGACTGTGGATATTTCTTATGGTGGTGAAAATGGATTCAATCAGGTAAGGGAATCAGTTGAAGCTTTCATCCGCGTGTTTTTTTTTTGTAACCATTTCGATTTCGTCCAGGCTATTGAACTTGCTGCGGATGCCCTTGCGAATGTTAAGTTTATACAAGAGAAGAAGTTGATCGGAGGATATTTTGATGAGATAAGCCAGGTAAGTATTAATTTCTGAGATCAGTGTACTATTGGCTACCCCACTGCTGTTATTGATTTTCCTGTCATTTGTTGCTAACTTCGAATTGTGAACATTCAGGATACTGGGAAGTACGTCTTCGGAGTGAAAGATACATTGCAAGCGCTCGAGATGGGCGCTGTGGAAACGCTTATCTGTTGGGAAAACCTCGACATCATTCGATACAGGCTGAAAAACTCTGCTGGAGGTGAGCGTCACGTATAGCCTTTCACGCTTCTCGTGCTTGACGATATCTGGTTGCTTCCGGAACACTTTATTTTTATTGGTATTGAAGATGATGAAATCCAAAACTTTTGGTACATGTCTGGCTATTACTCCACAATGCAGACTTCTCCTGGGAGCTTTATTTCCATAAGCACCTTTTAAAATGGCCTGAGTGTCAGATTGCACAAGTGACTACCCGCGTGATAGGCGAGGTCACGCTTTCCAAAGCCAAGGCACGCCAGCACAGTCTATTCCAAAGACGCCATTTGTTTTGAAGATAATTGTTAGACCGGGTACCCTCACACAGTTTCCGCCCGCAGCTGTTAAATAGGATCCTGAGCATAAAGGCCATTGTTTGGCAATGCTCCTTCGCGGCGGCAGGAAGGCAGTAGTGTGATGATCTTACGAAATTTGGAGAAGCTGTCAATTTGGCTTCTAGTTTCGCAGGTGCTGAGCTGAACAGCTCCAGACCCTTGTTACATCCCCGAAGTGCCTTTTCTATTCTCGTCGTCCCTTCGAGTTGTTACTCTGTCCTCATTATGAGTTTGTCTAGTTTTCCTTTCAAAATGTTATCTTCCACCCCTCCTCCCTTCCCTGCTCAAAGCGATAATGGGAGCCGAGCCGCAACGAGGTTGGCGGACCTACTAAGATGGTATCCGGAATTCGAATGATGCTCGCCGTCGAACCTTACGGTGTTGGGCGGCCACTGTCCTTCTGAATTGCAAAAAATCTGCCCTTCCCTGTCGCACCCTAACCACTTACCCCTGTTTCTTGATGGAGTTATCGGAAATCTGTGTTCCTGTCCTTGAGCATATCTTGTTTTTCACTCATTTCAATGCCGATACTAATAAAAGTAAAAGTGAAGAAGTACTCTGCATAGTCGTAGAAGGTGAGAAATAGGTACTATTATATATGCCTACTAATCATGCAAGCGTTCTGCCCTAATACGATCCCCTAAGTTTCTGTCTTTGGTTCACCCCTTTTGTCATACCTCTCCCACTTTTTCCAAAGTTTAAAGGTTGGCCATGGAGCGAGCCGATAGAGAGGGAGGGAGTGTGGGGAGAAGGGGGAGGGGTACAGACCTCAGATTAACCATCGAAAATAGGAGTTTTCGCGCCGCTTACTAGTGGGGTGGGATAGTCATGCTGTATACGAATTCAGATTCATGGTTGTTTTACCTGTCGTGTACTACATCGTAGGATTAGGTACGGATACGGTTAAGAAACAATGTGAGGCGCGTCTGAGTGCTGCAGTTGAAAATGGGGGCATGAAAGACGGTGGTGTAACTGTGTAACTTATTGTGCTGGTCTTTGTTATATTAGCAGACATTAATGAAATTCTGTTTTCCAGAGGAGAAAGTCCTCAACCTGAGGCCAGATGAGGAAAGGGATAAGTCCCATTTCACGGATAAGGAAACCGGGCAAGACATGGAAATAGTGGAGACAATGCCACTATTGGAATGGTTTGCTAACAATTACAAGGTTAGAATTTCCTTCAAATTTCCATAACGATCTTTCTAAATTAATTCATCTAGAACTTCGGTGCAACCCTCGAAATTGTTACTGACAAGTCACAAGAAGGAGCACAATTTGTGCGAGGATTTGGTGGAATTGGAGGTTTGATTTTTTTACCGTCTCGAAATTTTGAGATTAGTTATATATTTATTATAATGCAGGTCTTCTGCGTTACCGAGTGGACTTAATGAATGATATGGTTGACGAGTTTGACGAGATCAACTTTGATGACTATTGACCTCGTGCGGCGGCTGGCGACCATTGGAAACCCTATTTTATAAAGCTTTTTTGTAAATTTTTCCAAATACTTTTGATCAAATTGTCATTTTTTTCCTGTCTGAGCAAAAATTCTTCTCTGCAAGATATGTTTGTATTCAATTTAACTACTCGATTCCCTCTATTAGTATCCTCATATCGCACTTTCCTGAAATTAAAATATTCGCCTTCCTCACTTTATTCATTTGATTTGACCTTATTTCCACCTCTGGTCCAGCCCGATGTGTCGCTCTGCCGCCGTATGAAATCCGCCGTCCGCCAAAAAGGAGCCGATGGCGTCAGGACGCAGCTTGTCGAGCTGTGCGCTTCTAGTACGTCAACGACAGCGCCAGCAGAGCTATTCACAAATGTTTCAACTACTGGCCAGGGGTTAGTTCTACTTTTTGTACTCTTTGCTGGTTAAAATACTGCACGTTTCCTTGCGAGTGGACCCTTTCGGCAGCGTTCATACTTCGCGATGATGCGCGGTAAGGTGCGTCGACGCGCTACAATGGCAACAGCGCTTCACTTCTGTAGAAGCGAGTCGAACGGAGTTGGCGGCTTGTGTTTTGAGAGAGTATAGAATAACAGAAGGACAGCCGGTGCCTCCACATGATCTGATAGTCTCCCACTTTTTATGCTCTTCCAAATCCCTAAGGCAGCGTTCAGACTTCGCGACGGCAGCGCTTCGGTCGCGCGTTCGACGCGATCGATGCAGTCAAAAGCATGCGCATCGATCGCGCGAACCGAAGCGCTGCCGTCGCGAAGTCTGAACGCTACCTAACGGCTGGTGCAGACCGATACCCGAGTGTGATCAGGCCATGCGTACCCTCCTGTTCCCCCATACTCTCTCTGTAGACGAGCGATCGGCGCCAATCGATTACCGCCTGCGACTGCGTTTGTGTCTATAGCCTTGAAGCGCTGTTGAAATTGTAGCGCCTTATAGGGCGTCGACGTGAAGTCCGAAGGCTGCCTTCCATATTTGATTTGGGCAGATCCATAACTATAGGAGTTTGCCGCTCTGAACTGCCTGGAAATGAAATTGTAAGGGTTTGGTAGCCTTGATGTTCGCTAAACAATATCCGACCCGCACGCTACACATTTGTGAGCAACGTCGCCTAGCGCGTTTCTGCGAGACCTCGACGACGTGTTGCCACGAAGTCGAGCTGAAGAACAACAGCGCGACAGCCGAGAGCCAGGGCCAAGTAGCGCGCATGGCCATGGTTAGGAGAATGGTGGGTTCTGTGGCATGTTGTGTATCTGTGATCTACTCTCCCTGTAGTAAAAGACGGGCTTAGACGTGGGACCACGTTCATACTTCGCGACTGAGGAGGTTAGGCGACTTGGGAAACACACTGCGATTTAGAGATCGCGCGACGAGGGAAGTATAGATATCGATCCGGCGATTCGGGACTCGGCGTTTTTGGCGATCGCGCCAAAGGAGTGGATGGGCATCGATTGGCGCCTATCGCTGACTAGTGCGTAATTTCCGCAATCTTCCAAAACGCCAGATCGCTGAGCCTCGAATCGCTCAATCAATCGCCTTATCGCTCAATCTTTCCAATCGCCAGATCGATACCTAGCTTTCATCGTCGCGCAATCTGTAAAATCGCCGAATTTTCTCAGTCGCAAAGTGTGAACGCGACCTGAAGAACATTAAAATATCAAAACCCTCGCTTCGTTATGCGCATTCATGAGTGGCAATAGTTCAGCACATATGCAATTACGGGTCTGCCCGCCTTGCATGTAACCGTGTAGTGTGCGTTTATTCTCGATCTTTTATGTATACTTTTTTTTACTTGATTTGGTATTTCAGTTCGAGGTGGGATGCTTTGGTCGATACTGTCGGGCCTACACCATTCTGCTCGGTTGTGCGTAACATCACCCTCCTCGCTGTTGAATCCTTCGTTTCGTCTGAAGATGCCATTGAGCGGCTTTCGTCGCCAATTGTCAAGAGGATTTTTATCTTTTTTTTCGTCATTTGGGTCAAACTCATGTTGTGATCGTCTAGATTTCTCTTTACTCGCCAGAAATATTGTGTTTAGATTGCAATCCGTGTGAAAATACATTTTCGGTCAAGAACTCCTCTGTCTCCATCGTAGGAGGGTGTCAACGTCTCGATTCCTCTATCTCTCTGTCTTTTTTTGTCTCCGCCAATCCTGCTGCATGATGTGTGATGCAATGGGTCTAGAAATAAAATGCTACTATTGTTTGTTTTTGATTGTTTATCGTATAAATGGTATCGCCTAAGTACAGTCACCGGTATACCTACGTGACATCCTTCAGTTGTGCCTGCGTGGAGTGCCAAATTCCACTTGCCCGATTCTGCGACAGCGCTGAAGTGGTTCTTATCGGTGGTGGAGTGAGCCAGTTTTGCCCACTATTGCCTTTTGCCGGCGACCTTCCTCGTTCACTGTGTAACTATGGGTGCAACACAGCGTACTGATAAGCCAGTGGTGGGTGATCAACTTGTTCATTTCGCGCATTGAATTCGAAGTTCAGTATCGATCAATATCATGATGACTGCCCTTTAATAATATTTGTAATTTGCAATCTCGTAGAAATTCGCTTGTGTAACAAATTCAAGGTCCCTGTAAATTTTTAACAATCTTTGGCTTATAAAACGAAAGTGAGAGCATAGTTAGTGTAAACGCATTAGAAGGGCCGTAATTGCCGCTCTGGAGGGGCGGTTTTGTACATATTTGGTGGTTTGTTGGGAGAGCGAGGGGGGGGGGGGGGGTCCGTGTGTGCTCTTGAGAGACAAATTTTGGCCCGCGACTGGGAAAAAAATATTTATTATCGGGTTGTTGTGGATTTTACTGCTTTCTTCTTGTTAGATGTTACTGTAACCCCCCCCAACCCGTTCCGCCCGTTCCCGGGCTACACTCGAGACAAATCATTGGGTAAAAAGTTAGGAAAGTGCTCGAAACAATTCGGAAAAAAAAGTGGTAAGGGAAAGTTGGAATCTAAGAGCTCCCTACGCGGAGTATACCCGCTTCACCAATGGCGTGCTCGCCCCCTCCTCCCACCCCCCGGATCGACAAGAAAAATTTGGAATAAAAACCTGGAAAATATGGGAAAAAAGTTGTAAAGAGGATATGAGTGTGTGGAAAAGGGGGCTCGTGCCCAGCCAGGGAATCTACTCGAAGGGGGGATCGATACCGACTAAGTACCTACTTGCCAAATTAACCATGATTTCAGTTTTCAGTGGTTGAAACTATCATAGTTGGAACAACTGAACTCTATGACTGCTAGAAAGACCTCGGGGTACCCTTGGGCTACCTCTGTTTTCTATGTATTTCTGTAATTGTTCAGCAGCCTTGCTGTTGACCGTACATTGCGAAGTGCCAGGAGGCATGGAATGAGCAGCCACATACGGCTGCTCTTGGACCAATCGTTGTCCTTGTACAGGCAGGCAACTATTGGTAGAAAACAGCCGGCGTTGGGCTAATTCCACTCCCTTTCACTGCAGTGCTGTGCACTAAATTTTCTCATTTTTGAGTGAGCCTTATGTTTCCTACAACTGTGAAAGGCGCAGGTCAACTTACGGGAGGACTTTTTGTTTTTTCCAGCCATATTCGGAAAAATTTAGTGAACTATTCAGAGGTTGGGGCCAGTTTCTCCCCTAATTAAGGCTCCGGCGTAGGATACAGCATCATTGGCAGTATCTCATCAGGGAGACGTCGTATTCAGTCGTCGGGAGGGAAGGTGATTGATATGTGAGTCAGTGCTGAAAGACAAGCAACGTAGAGGTTATGAAACTTTGCGACCTACTGGGTTACATAGGCTTGCACGTGAAGGCCTTAAATGATGTTACACCTTCAAATCACCTCAGCATTGAGGTCCAGTCGACCTCAATGCTGCGCTGATTTGCCATTCACTGGGAATTGCGCCCTGGAGGCACACTATAGTTTTCAAAGTGTCTCGTTCCGAAGTGTTCTTCAAGGCGATTGCAGCCGAAACCGAGCCTTTGATTGCACAGAATTTCTCACATCGAAAACTCATCTGAAACATCTCCTGACCCGAGGCCATTTGGGGGAATAAGTGAGAAGCCACATTGCATGGCCCCGTGGCTTCTCACTTATTCCCCCAAGGCCTCGCCTCTCGCTCCTTATGATGTTACCTTCACCCCGTTTTTAATCGGGTAGTGGGCCTGAAGCTGGGTTGTTAGGGCTAGGGAATACCTAACATCCGAAAACCCAGCTTCAGGTATACAGGCGTGCCCTGGTGCCCCTGTATGTGGTGTTATCCCTAGCACCATCCACTTGTTTGGATTTTCGGTTACCATGCTCCTCATTTATCGAGAGCCAGGCTTCACTTGTTGTCTCAGCATGCATAGCTCGCGTCCATCGCAGCGTGTGCCTTACCCACTTTAGGGTCATTTGAGTGTTTGTTCCCTTACGACGGGTTAATAGATTCCTAACTAGCAATGTTCTCTTTTATGTTTCTTTTTAACTTCTGCTATATGTCAGTTAAGCTGTTGATTTGTTTTGCTTTTTTCCACGTCTTTTTCTGTTGACTGACCACCATACAATAAACAATAAACAAACTGGCTGGTCTTCACGAAAAGTGTAGTAGTTTCCGGAGAGCGGACATATTCTAATTTCCAGTAATGTTTTCGGTTTCGCGAACAAACACATACTGAGGGAATCATGGTCGTTCAAAGCCTGAAAACTCGCATGGGTTTATCACTAATCCCATCACAACCCATTGGAGGTATTTCTTGGGCTCGGAAAAAGTCAAAGAAAAATTAACATAATCACGGAACAGTGGAGCTCGTGCTTTATAATTCTGCTTTATTTTCACAAGTTCCCCACCTTAGTTGTCTGAGGAAGGCATTGAGACCCTGTTTAAGGAGAGAGTCGTACTGACACATCTATTTCACCATCCGGATGTTGTGGCATGCTTAAGTTTTGTGGAGACAATGTTTCGCTGTGAAACTCTTCCTCAGTGATTATGGTCATGTGCCGAGCCTACGCCCTGGTCAGGAAAAGGGACATGGAGGTGCCGCCGAGTGATCGCTTCTCCAAGTGCGTTAGTGTCCTTAACCTGCTTGACATTCCGGGACGGCGTTCTGTAGACCGAATTTGACTCGGTAGTAGTTTTGCCATGGTATCAAGGGATAAGATATGGGAGGATTTTAGTCTCACATATTTAGTAACGGTGGCTTGTGCTCAAGTTTTAGTAGGTGCGACGTTACTTGTGCCGTTCTGGTGTGAACATTGATATACTGCCAACTGTCTTTTAGTGACAAACGTTAACGGATGATAACCCTAATAGAATCGAGCCAGTATTCCTGTCCGTCAGTAATAAGACTCGGCGAATGCATCAACACTTATCGAAACGAGTTTCCAGGACTTTTTTGTCAAACAAGCTTTTTATAGTCCAAGGACAAGATGGGTCTCGACAGGTCGACAATTGCCGTTACTTGTGCCGTTCTGTTGATCTCCACTATAGCGGCTATTTACTTCCTACGGAAGAAAAAGGGCAGTGGTTCGAAGGTGAGGCTTGGGCTTGATCTTTTTTTCTGTTCTCGCCTCCTCTTGAGAAGACAGCTGACTTCGCTTTCGAGTCTTCTCTTCGCATAATGAGTTTGTGCACCTCTTGTTCTGCAGATCCTGTTGGACGCTAGCTAGGATAGGATACCAAGTACGCTCTTCCATTAGCCGAAAAGATAGTAGTTAGCCACGACACACGCAAATTCCGGTTTCGGTTGCCCTCAGAGAACCATGTGCTTGGTCTTCCAGTGGGTCAGCATGTGTACCTGAGCGCTAAAGTGAGCGTTGTTTTCTGTTTTTTTTTTTGCTCTTTTACATTTGACACAGTAGCGATGTTTTCTACTCTACTTCCTCATCGAGAGTGTACTAGAAATGCTTTGTTCGAAATGTTCAACAATACCAAGTGTATAAAACTGACGTAGAGTCTGAACAGTCTAGATAACGAGAGGTAACGCAAGAAGCTCGACCCATTCTCTCAGAGCTGGGCATTCCGCTTCTCTTGAAAGCCTTTTCGAAAGGGGCCATATGCTGACATGCTGAGACGCAGTGCGTTCCCCAAGGTAGGAGAAGATTTGACGCTGCTTCAGTTGACCAAGAGTTTTAATGGGGCAATGTTTCGTTAAATTATAAGAATCCCTTACTCGAAGGTGGTGTAACAGCAAATGGCACGTTTATCACACGCGCAGTCTCCGCGTCAAATCTGCGACCGGCCGGTGCGCAGGCCTACCTCACCACTCAGTAATTACCGAGCTAGTTTTGTGAGCTGAACGTGGCGTAGGTTCAGTCCCTCCCTGCTTGGCAACACCCTAGAGTTACCTCTTTTGTATGTTTTAATTTCATGTCTTCTAGATTGATGGGAAGTTAGTGGTACGTCCATACACTCCGGTCTCCAGTGATGACGATTTGGGTTACGTCGAACTGATGATCAAGTTGAGTTATTTTTATGACTTTTTATTGGATTTCATTTTTCTCTGTGGAAGACTCAGTGACCGAAATTCCTCTTTGAGTCATTTGGCTTCAGGTTTACTTCCGTGGCGTGCATCCTAAGTTCCCAGATGGTGGTAAGATGAGTCAGCACTTGGAACAAATGAAAATTGGTGATACGGTCAGTAGATAATATGTTTTTCTTGCATATATTCTATTTTGTTCTAGGCTTGTTTTTCAGATAGATTTTCGTGGACCGTCTGGGCTAATTGTTTATAAGGGCCATGGAAAGTTCGCCATACGACCAGACAAGAAATCACCACCGAAGGAACGGGTTTTCAAAAAGATCTCTATGATTGCTGGAGGAACTGGAATTACTCCGATGTTACAGGCTAGTTGAAAGCTATCGAGGAAAAGTTGATTTGTGAACCTTCAGGCGAATTGAGGGGCAGAGATAATTTGGGGATGCCAGCTCGCGCGATCATGCCACGTCGTCATGTCTGCTTGAGTGTGCCCCCTCAGCGAACAAGAAAGTGGTGTATATTCCTGTTCGGGAATTTCTAAAAGAAATAGGAAAATAAGAATTCCAGCATATGACGTCGCATAGAAAGCAAAGAAAGAAAGCAAGTACGATCCCTCCTCCCTAAAATGACCAATTGCGACCCCCCCCCCTCTTCGCTGGAATCCCTAGCCTGCAACGTACTCCCAGGAACGGCTCGCAAAGCATGTTAAACTAGGCGTGCGATCGCTGCGTGATCGTAGGCAGCATGTTACAAATTTTGAACGAGTAACGCTTCAGAACACGAGTCGTCGGGGTGGAGTGAAATGTACTTATTCTATAGCTCTCGGTCGATGTTAAAGTGTATAAAAAAACTGCGAAGGAGTTGCCTAGAGAAAAAGCTACGAAAAGTGTAAAAAAAATCGGCAAATTTTTGACGTGC